GGTTTTCGAGGTGTTACCGAAATTCGAATTTTGGGTCGAGTTGTTTATTCCTTTCGAGTCCGGAAGTCGTGGATATGGCATGTAAATCCTCATAGAGAGATCCCAGCTCGCCACGTTGTTTGCTCTGTGAAATTAGAATAATTATGTATATTCTCTCGGCGCCTCATCCTTGGTGCAGATCCTCCAGGAACGCTGCTTCGTCCTTCGGGATTATATTCCGAGTAATGTGTCTGGCGTTCCGGCACTGTGAGTGTCCTTTGGGAGTACTTCGAGTACGCAAAGAGGAGTCAACTCCTTCCACCTTTTACTTCCGGGAAAGTCTTGGAAAATTTCGCCCTTGTTAATTCCCTCTGGCACTAGGAAAACTCGACGCAGTACGTGCATTTAAAAGTACTAGGTAATTGTTAATTCTTACCGCATAAAGTGTACTGCACGAAAACACGTTCCAATATCCTTTCATTCCACGTCTAATATCCCTATATTTTTCGTTTATTAATAAATTAAAAGTGACGCGAAGTAAAGTATACGCGTATAAAATTCGTTTAAAAATAATTCCATTATTAATTGTCAACAATGTTTACTGATGAGAACGAGAAATTTTGAATTTAATATTCTTCGCCCGATAATAAGCATTACTTATACTAGAAAATTTATGAAACGTTATTAAGGATTTTTTGTTAAGATACAGTGTATTCTATTTATAATGTGTTTCTTCGGTTGCGATAATTTATAGAGGGCAGTTACACTTTATATTCCGATTTTAACATTTTGTTAGGATTTTCTGGACGAGTCGATGAATTCCTCTCTTCTTGTTGGTGTAAGTCGTAAGAAATGATAGGCGACGTTGCATCTATTAAATATTAATATCGCCCACCTAAGGGGCCTTTATCATCCTCGCCGTGTCGACGGGTTGAAAAAGGCAAAGATTATGCCGAAACAAATTTGTCTACCGACAACGAGGGATGACACCGTTGCATAGGATTCATTGAATCGAGTTTCAAATGCTACCCAGCTCGACTGCATGAAATATTAATGAGAACGAGGATTTTTCAGGCGAGGTTTTCATTCCGGGCGTCGATAAATTTTCATGGATATAAATTCTCTTCGAGATGAATTCTTCTCAAGATGAACTTTCCTCCAGATGAATTTTCTTCAAGATAAGTTTTCCTCGAGATGAATTTTCTTCGATAAATATTTTCCGCTAGATGAATTATCATTGAAATGAATTTCTCTTCGAAATGAATGTTCCTAAAAATCAATTTTCTTTGGGATGATTTTTCCTCGAGATGAATGTTCCATCTTGGATATTTATTGGACCAGGACTCTTTCAAGGACGAAGGGGACGAAGCGAAAAATCGTGTGGGTGGAGGAGATGCGTTGATTCTGATTGCAGCTGCACTCGGACAGATGCAGGCGACATTATGGGCAGCGTTAAAGGCACGCATATGCGACTGCGGTTACGTAGGCATGCGGAGACGCAAACCAGCATCGTATGTCGCATTGTTTGGTGGAAGCGTCCGCAGACTCGGCATAATGCCGCATTATTGTCCTGCCATTGCTGCATTACCGAAGCATATGGTACCGAGCACTGCAATTGGTATGTAAACCTGGATTTTTAGCCGGCGTTTCATAATGGTGACAGTCGGGTATGATGACTAATGGAAGAGCTCGTTAATTCTTTCATAAACGATGGACCCTTAAGATGTCACTATCATACCACCTTAAGGGCGCTCACCACTCCAGCGATTTTGCAGGGCCTCACGGGGGCAACGATTCCGAACGTATTTTTAAACCGATCGAGCTTAACGAGTGCTCATATCGAAGATGAAACGTTGACCTGTGTTTATATGGGAGCGATTTTCGATAAGTGGTCATTATCATATAAAAAAGTGCAACGACATAATTTCAATGCCCTTTTACCTAGGAAGGAGGTGCTCGATCGAAAATCGCTCCCATATAAACACACGTCAACATTTTATCTTTAAAACGAGCACTCGTTGAGCTCGATCGGTTGAGAAATACGCTCAAAATTGTTGTCCCCGTGGAGCACCTTTTTCAGGATTTTCAAGTTTCTCGCGCGGAATTTGGGCATTCCTTAGCAACCGTTGCCGACTCTAGGCAGAGCGTCCAACTTGCGTGTGCGTGCGGCCGTGGGTCACACACGTTTCGGCGCCTAGTCCAGAGGCGTCTAGCCGTTGTGTGAGTTGTATACGTGCAAAATACACACACATTTTTCGCCCGTTGCTAAACACTGCCCATTATGCGTCGCGTCTCCCTCATCCGAGCGAGAGAGTACGTTTTGGTTACCTCCCACCGAATTCGATGCTAATGCCATCTAGCGGTGGAAGTTATCGTCCCCACTTGGTGGTGAACGCCGTTAAGGTGAAGTGAAACATCCTTCAAATCAGTCGATTCGAATACAACACTTTTTTTCAAGGGTATTAGACCAAACTGTCCAAAACTTTGACACATCACTCCTGATCATCTAAGAATTGTCCTCACATTAAAATTTGGATTTTTCAAAAAAATTTTTTTACTCCGTCCAGACCAGAACCAAAATGGCGTCGATCTCTCATATTTCGATCAGTATATAATTATCGAAGGCTCTGATATGAGAATCGAAAGGGTCAGAACAATTTTACGACAATTTAGAACACTTTGATAGTCGATAAACTCACATTTGAACGGGATAAAGGCAAAAAAAGTGTTGTATGCGCTTCTATGCTAAAACGATGGGAATACGAGGTTTTGGCGTGAAAATTTAATTAACCTGGAAATCACAGATGGCGCAGAGGGTCCATCCGCAGTCAATTAGGGCCCCAGAAAGCATGAATCCAGAGGATTTCTGGAGTTTTACTTCGATTTCTTGATATTTATTGTACGAAAACGACAGGTGGAGTATGCCATTTGGTACAATATCCAATATAATTCGACACAGCTGTCAATATAAAAACGAACGTCGGCAATGTAGGCATTTAGAAAAATCTTCTTTATCGACGTCGATCAAGTTCCTCGACGTGTTTCACTTCACCTTAAGGCGACGAATTCCACGAGTGTGAAAAATTTCCTTAGGGCCTCCATATTAACGTGACAAAACTCCAAACAATTCTATGATATCCAGTTCGGAGAAAAGTTACATAAAAGCTTCAGCCCCGAGACGCCACTTTCATCCCACCTTAACCCTTTCAGCGCTATGAACTCATATATACGTTCGACAAAATCGTTCACCATGGGCTATGAACACATATATGGGTTCTCACACACCATTCAAAATGTGGTCAGCCCATAGCATACGTTTAATGTCTCACAACTCAGTGCTGAAAGGGTTAAGGTGATGTGAAAATAACGTGAAAGAGGTCTCGTTTATGGAATTTTTGACCGATTGGAGGGTACCAAGTCGTTTGAAACTTTACAATGCAAACATGGAGGCTATAAGGAAAGTCCTGAAACCCGTGAGATTTCAATTTCTTTAAATTTATTTATAGGCATTTTAGAAATTGTTTGTAAAATATGAAATTTCATGGGTGTCGGGACCTTCCTTATAGCCTCCACATTCACAGTGTAAAGTTTGACACGGTTCGGTAAACACAGTTCGGAGAAAAGTTACATAAACTCCTGAGGTGGCACTTTCATCCCACCTTAATCTTGAGCTATTAGGTGCAGAGGTTGTTCTTCATCCCGGTAGCAACATTTGCTCTTTCCTGTTTTATCCACCAACTGAACGATCTAACTCGACATTGCCTCCCCGAACCCTTCTTTGCGTACTTTGCACTTTACGACGACGACGGCGATGATGTCGACGAGGGGGACTTTATTAGCATTTTATGTGATGTTGTCGCATAAGCGATGAGGTCGTGCCACCTTCTGCAATAACATCAAGACCTTCCCCAGGAAAAGGGCCTCCTTCCGAGAAAAGAGTGGACTGTTAATGATGCCTTCCCCGAGAGCCCATCGTTTCCGAAGAAAATATTTTTTTTTCCAGTGTATTCTTTTAAATAAATAATTTCACATAAATCTTGCCGATAGACGAGATCAGAAAATGGAAACTGGAATTTTATCTAAATATTTTAATCGTCCTGAAGATATTAAATAAATTGCGAAAACTATTTCAAAGCATTCGTTGGTTCGCGATAAAATCGCTTTGGGTGAATTTTCTTTTTCTCTTTTTTTTTTCCAGCAAATTGGAGGAATTTACAAAATCACCATCAAATTTTGCAAATAGACGACGTCAAGAGGTGTGAATAAGAATTTAGTCTGAATTGTTTAATGCTGTGGGAGGGTTTATAATAGTAAAAATGCTTTCGAGCGAAGCACAAAATACTTGTTCGCGAGAAAGAGAAATTTGAGGTTAAGAAAGAAACGCAGCGCTCGATGTAGACGGTGAAAGAGGATTTTTCTCGAGGAAGTTGTACGACTTTTATCGACTAACGAAGGGATCCAAAAGGGAGGCAAGAAGAATACGGGATGGTCGAGAGAAAAGTATATACGCAGAAAAGGAAGAAAGGGGAACGCGATGGCAGAAGTGGTTTCTGGAGAGAGGCCATTTATTAAACGGAAATAGAGAAGATCGAGAGGCTGAAGATAAGGAAGAGAGGCGGAGAGAAAGTAAATACATCTCTACGTATATAACCGTATGAGCATGTATTATCGTACATATATAATATATACAGCGAACAACGCTACCGTTCCAAACCAGACGAGATTATTATGAGAATTTCACCAAGGGGGATTTCATGGAAGAAGATTACAGAAGTTCAGCGCACTAATTATACCGAGGAAGTATTTTATACGGTATTTTAACAGAAAACAATTGTCACGAGGAGCGCAAATGTCGTTTTTTGAAATATTGTTACCGTTGCTACGAGGATATTTATAACAATTGCAGGAGCGAATATATTTTTTTACTGTATTGTTTCTCTTGGGTTTTCTGATGGGAGTGTAATCTCAGGACGCAAGAATTCAGTTATTAATTATTTAATGAAGGTCGAAGGGATACTCACGAAAAGGACGACGTTGTAAATGTGCAGGACGTATTTCAGGAAATTAACCGAACAGCAACCGTCATCTCTGGTTCGGATTCTGGTGGAAGTTCCAGGCAATCTTTCGGCGCCCTTCGCCATCTTGGATTTCTCGCGTTCTTTACAATGCACGCTGGGCCGTCACCTCGTCATTGTTTCTGGAAGAAAAAGGATATTCTCTAATGGATGCACCGTTAAAAGTGTTTAAATACTTTCAGCACCTTCGAATGCAAGTATATTCAAAAGTAAAACAATGAAAGATAGCGGCTTTCGAAGTGAAGACCCGACAAATGTGTACTACACTTCAAAGGACGCCATTTTTACGCGAGAATTCCCACAGAATTGTTGGAAAACTTCAAGGAAATAGTAAGTCGAGGGGAAATAAATCGGTAAAATGTTTAACAGTCCCCATGGATCGACATTTAACGGGGAAAATGAAATAAACGAAGGAATTAAAAACGAGAATCGATAACGCTCCCGTCTCGAGTGTGTTCAACTTCAGAGGTGCTCGACTTAAAGGAAGTCGATTGCGTTCCATTTTTAAATCCCGACTTTTATTCGCGTCGAACTCGTCTACTTCTGGAGCTGGAGGAGTTCCACTCGAGTTCCACTCCACGGAGACATTCAGGAATAGATTTTGCATTATTTCACGTATCTCTGGCGAGACGCCAAAGTAATGCCAGTCGACCGAGTATCGATATCGAGTATCGGAAGACGCATAAAGAGCGGAAAATCAAGAAACACAAGGAACGCCGGAGATGTCGAGAGAGGGTAAAGAAAAACGAGAAATACATACCGGAACGAGATATGTATATAGAAAAGAAAGACCTCACGACGTGCCCCAATACTTTGGTTTTACAACCCTCTTCTTACAAATTAAAGCAAAAGGGTCGAAACTGATTTTAACGCTCGTTTGAGTATGTTCAAAAATGGCAAATACATTCCAGAGAAGAAAAAGAAAAGAAAAGAACCCTCACGAAAAGCTCCAATACTTCAATCTTACTATCTTTTCCTTGCGATATGAAGGAGAAAAGTCGAAAGTAATGTTAACATTTCTTCAATAAATCACCGGATGTGGCGGCCATTTTGAAAAGGTGGCGCGGCTGACGAAGCGCTAAAGTTAAAAAGAGGTACCCGAAGATGATCTCATAAACGTTCAATAACGATAAATACATGCCGAGACGATGTATAAAAAAGAATGTTCCCTCATGACTCACTTCAATACCTTAATTATATTACCCATTTATCAAGGAACGAAGGAGAATAGTCAGAAATAATGTTAACATGTCTTCAGTAAATACCAGATGTGGCGGCCATTTTGAAAAGGTGGCGCGGCTGACGAAGCGCTAAAGTTAAAAAGAGGTACCCGAAGATGATCTCATAAACGTTCAATAACGATAAATACATGCCAAGACGATGTATAAAAAAGAATGTTCCCTCATGACTCACTTCAATACCTTAATTATATTACCCATTTATCAAGGAACGAAGGAGAATAGTCAGAAATAATGTTAACATGTCTTCAGTAAATACCAGATGTGGCGGCCATTTTGAAAAGGTGGCGCGGCTGACGAAGCGCCCGAAGGCAGGCGCGACAAAAGTGGAACTATCGGACTTATCCGGCTACATTGGTACATTTGGACTACTCCGCCCGTGTCTACGGTAAAAGGAAAACTCGGAGGGATCTAAAAATGCAGTTTCCAGAGCGGGTCGGTTCTCCGAGTTGCGAAGGTTCTCCGGAAAAAGGGAACCGAAGAACGGGAACCGAGCAAAGTGGAACTCACAGGCGTTGGCTTTGGCCCAACGTTAACGCGTCGCCACAGTTGCCAAGGAATGCGTGCTCGGTTTAATACATTGTCGCTCTTTGACGTATGGCCCGAAATTCCGAGCCCTGGAAGAATTTAATAAAATTTCCGTCCCAATGAGGGAAATTCAGTTCAATTAGTCCGCGGCGGCGGGAAGAATTGGGCGCTTCGGAACTTCCCGAAACTTTTTGAATCAATTAAGAGTTAATTTATAAAACAATGGCGGACCGGAATTGGAGGCGAGTGGTTTTTGCAGATAATTTATTTAGGATTCCTCGGAGGATTTCAGCATTGTGCTGAGGGAAGCTTCTGGGGACCTTCAAGGGCTTCGACGGGTATTTAGCGAGTTCTTGGATAAGGATTGAATGTCTTCAAGGTAAAGAGGGAGTGGAGGAACGACTTCAGGTCGTATTCGCACCTGGAGACAAAATCAGAACCAAGGAAAAGGATGTTCCGTCAAAAATATTCATGAAACTCGTATTTACACATTTAATTAACAAACTTGTTGTCCAATTATTCATTTAATTCGCTTAAAAGTGAGTTGAATTCCTTTCAGGCGATCCTAACCTTACTTCTACGAAAAAGTGAAACTGGGAAGGAGAGAGATGAGAACCTCGCCAATTTTTCTTCAATTTTAAAATTATTTTCTTTTAATATCAAGAGGTTATTGAATTTAAGGTTTGCAGAGGAACAGGAGGATCCTTCGGGAAGATCGTCGGAAGGACCCTATCGTTGGTGAAATCGCATTTACATCGAAAACGACGGAAGTTCCTTCGACTCAGTGGGCAGGAATGGCCGCGGTCTCTGAACCGGGTTAAAACGGGCCGAGAGGATTGAATTATGAAACCCCCGTCGAAAATATCCATTATCGGAAAGTCTTCGAGAAGATAGATCACGGAAGTGGCAGGGCCACGAGCGGTGTAAACAGCTTGTTGGCTTTCGTAAGAGCGAAAAAGGCGAGAAGAGACCGCGAAGAGCAGAAAACAAAAGGAAGACCTTAAACGCAAGAAAAGAAATGACTTCAAGCTCTGGAAATAAAAAATGAACGTAAAAGCAAAAAAGGATGGAAAAAGTATGGACCAGTCTGGTGTTCGAAAGGGGGAGAAAAAGCACCATGACGAAACGTACGTCACTTTTGTAACGCGTATTTTGCGACACACGTGCTATCAGACTGATATGTGCATGTATTTTTTAACTCTACATTTAATAATAAAAAGATGAAAAAAGTATAGACCAGCCTGGTGTTCGAAAGAGGGAGAAAAAGCACCTCGACGAAACGTACGTCCCTTTTGTAACGCGTATCTTGCGACTCACGTGCTATCAGACTGATACGTGCATGTCTTTTTTAACGCTAATCGCGTCATATTTAATAATAAAAACATGGAAAAGGCATAGATCAGTCTGCTGTTCGAAAGAGGGAGAAAAAGCACCTCGACGAAACGTACGTCACTTTTGTAACGCGNAGTTTAAAAATAATTTTCATTCAATACCGAGAGGATATCTAATTTAAGGTTTGCAGAAGAACAAACGGATCCTTCGGAAGGACCCTATCGTTGGTGAAATCGCATTTACATCGAAAACGAGGTAAGATCCTTCAGTTCAGTTTATTCTAGATTTTTCTCTTTATAATTTAAAAATAATTTTCATTCAATACCGAGAGGATATCTAATTTAAGGTTTGCAGAAGAACAAACGGATCCTTCGGAAGGACCCTATCGTTGGTGAAATCGCATTTACATCGAAAACGAGGTAAGATCCTTCAGTTCAGTTTATTCTAGATTTTTCTCTTTATAGTTTAAAAATAATTTTCATTTAATACCGAGAGGTTATCTAATTTAAGGTTTGCAGAAGAACAAACGGATCCTTCGGAAGGACCCTATCGTTGGTGAAATCGCATTTACATCGAAAACGACGGAAGTTCCTTCGACTCAGTGGGCAGGAATGGCCGCGGTCTCTGAACCGGGTTAAAACGGGCCGAGAGGATTGAATTATGAAACCCCCGTCGAAAATATCCATTATCGGAAAGTCTTCGAGAAGATAGATCACGGAAGTGGCAGGGCCACGAGCGGTGTAAACAGCTTGTTGGCTTTCGTAAGAGCGAAAAAGGCGAGAAGAGACCGCGAAGAGCAGAAAACAAAAGGAAGACCTTAAACGCAAGAAAAGAAATGACTTCAAGCTCTGGAAATAAAAAATGAACGTAAAAGCAAAAAAGGATGGAAAAAGTATGGACCAGTCTGGTGTTCGAAAGGGGGAGAAAAAGCACCATGACGAAACGTACGTCACTTTTGTAACGCGTATTTTGCGACACACGTGCTATCAGACTGATATGTGCATGTATTTTTTAACGCTACATTTAATAATAAAAAGATGAAAAAAGTATAGACCAGCCTGGTGTTCGAAAGAGGGAGAAAAAGCACCTCGACGAAACGTACGTCCCTTTTGTAACGCGTATCTTGCGACTCACGTGCTATCAGACTGATACGTGCATGTCTTTTTTAACGCTAATCGCGTCATATTTAATAATAAAAACATGGAAAAGGCATAGATCAGTCTGCTGTTCGAAAGAGGGAGAAAAAGCACCTCGACGAAACGTACGTCACTTTTGTAACGCGTATCTTGCGACTCACGTGCTATCAGACTGATACGTGCATGTCTTTTTTAACGCTAATCGCGTCATATTTAATAATAAAATGATGAAAAAAGTATAGATCAGTCTGGTGTTCGAAAGAGGGAGAAAAAGCACCTCGAAGAAACGTACGTCACTTTTGTAACGAGTATTTTGCGACTCACGTGCTATCAGACTGATACGTGCATGTCTTTTTTAACGCTAATCGCGTCATATTTAATAATAAAAACATGGAAAAGGCATAGATCAGTCTGCTGTTCGAAAGAGGGAGAAAAAGCACCTCGACGAAACGTACGTCACTTTTGTAACGAGTATTTTGCGACTCACGTGCTATCAGACTGATATGTGCATGTATTTTTTAACGCTACATTTAATAATAAAAAGATGAAAAAAGTATAGACCAGTCTGGTGTTCGAAAGAGGGAGAAAAAGCACCTCGACGAAACGTACGTCACTTACGTAACGCAATCCGTGCGACCCACGTGCTACCAGACTCGTATAAGCCGCCCTCGTATGCAGCCCACGGTGTCCATGACGAATAGCGTGCCATGAGGTTTTTGCTTTTTCGTTTTGGTTTTCAGAGCTGCAGAGGAGGAGCCCATTCGACCGGGGACCGAGAGATAGCAGGGCTCGCGATTACATCGGGTGATTCACCGTTCAAATTTGGCGAAAACCACTCTGCAAGTCCTGCGTCTCGTCGTTCCTTTCCTCGACGTCGGATATATCGTGGAAAA